TATATATATATATATATATATATATATATATATATGCAATTATACTATAGTCTAGCTTTTTCAGACTTGAGCCTAGTTTAGTTTTCCAGCTATTATTACTAAGTATAAGCAGTATTTTGAGCAACGCCGATTACGTTTTAAATGTATCATAAGATCTTGTGACACTTGAAATCTGAATCTACTACTGTAAGGACTTGAGAATGTTTTGAATTTTCCTTTTATTACCATTCAACATTTGAACATCGATGCGTGGTTTTGCACATGATTTTGTTTTTATTTTGATAATACAGAAACAATGATCTGCATCTTGCTTTGACAGCACCGAGTGCCATCAGGAGGGCCCAGATGGCAACTTTATCAGACGCTGGAAATAAACAGATTCGTTTAACAGCAGAAGCTTGTATCCAGGAAAAGTGGTAACATATTTCAGACATATTCCTTAAATTATGTCTACACACAGCTTATGCACCGTTATCTGAACTAAATCTCGTATTTTATCTTAGGCAGTGGATTTGACTTTGAAACTTTTCATGGGAGTGGACTTGGGGCGAACACGATGGATCGGCCAAATGAAACTGAGGTATGTTTGGCTGACTTCAAGGTCAGTAAAACTCACCATCGGATGGAATGTACCACTGTCAGTCGAGAGCATCAGGGAGAGATTAGATCGGCCACCGCGTAGTTGTTTTGAGCACATTGGCCACCCTACGTTCCCATCCTTCTGCTGGTGGGGGGATGGCATAGTTAATGGTGAACAACATGGGCTGGAATCAGGGCTTGGAGGCTTCTGTACTGAGAGGAGTTGGTGCGTGAGTTAAAGCTGCACAGCGGCAGATGAAGCAGTGAGTAGAAAGAGATGGTGGCCAAGACAAAGTAAGGAATTTGTTCTACATGGAGGCCAGAGTACTCATGGAAGAATGGCGGGAGCTGAAGGATGAGTGGTTGAGAGGACCTGAAGCTGAAGGGCCTTAAAGATCATATAATAAAGGGAATTGAGTTTAATTCTCAGAGGATAGACATCAAGTGGAAGATTATAAAAGTAGAAATTAGATAATGACATAGATCAATATTGAGAAAAAGTCTTTTGACTGCAGTAAGGTCGATGATCTGGAAGTAAGCCTGGAAAAGATACAGCAATGTAAGGGAGGAGGAGAGGGTTCAAGTGATCTAGATGGGATGGGATGTAATGAGAGCTTGAACAATGGCAGCACTGGATGGGTGGTAGGATGGACAAAGAGGAGCGAGGAGAAGATTTGGTAATTGAATGAGGGGTTAACACTAATTCTTGGATTTATGGTTTAGATCACTGAATTAAATAAGATAGGAATCCAATAGGAGTATATTTTGGAAAACAAGAGATGATGAGTTTTGTTTTGGATATGTTGTAAGAAGTGCCCATGAGATGTCTATAAGGAGTGGTCTAGTAGGCAACTGAATTGAATCTTGGGAGAGATGAAGTGTGAGATCAAAAGTGTGAAATTAAAACCAAAAGATCAGATAAGATTATCCAGGGAGAGTCTCCCAAAGGATAAAACTCTGATAAATAGTAATATTTAAAGACTGAATTGAGGAAGAGAGAAGACCTACAAGGCAGTAAAGATGTTTGCTTTGAGAAGCAGGGGTAGAATACCAAGCAACTGGAGCTAGAGAAGCGAGAACGGGACAGAGTTTCAAGAAGAGTCTTTCAAGACTGGTCATAGGTACAGTGGGATGAAATTAAACAAGAACTGGTGTGTCCACTGAGTTCAGCAGATAGATCATTAGTCGAGCAGTTAAAGCAGCAGTACAAAAAGACAGAAACACAAGATAGACCACGTAAGGCTTGAGGAGCTCAACAGGAGAAAGGGTGTGTAGGTGGGGAGCACAGAGCACTTGTGTTGGCTTGATTTATGACTTTTTGGCTTCATGATGGTGAGAAAGTGAGATTCATTCAGCAGAAACTGTAAAACAAGTTTATTTATTTTTTCTATGAGTGAGAGAGACAGAGAGACAGGCATCTCTAACAGTGTCCCCACACTGAACCACCCCCGTTCTCAGCCAGCCTGTGACACTGGGTGTGTGTTGCATGCACAGTGTGCACAAGGCGGCCTTGGGATGGGAACCTCAGATCCTTCCATGTGGGTCCAGTTGCGTCACTGCTGCATCACCGCCTACCTTCAGATGGTGAGTTTTGTCTTTCCCCTGGTTGGTGATGTAGGTGTGATACATGCTCGCGTGATGCTGGGTAGCGGCTGTGAGCTGCAGCCCCATCTTGTAGCTCTGAGACAGTCGTTAATTTTAGTTCAAAGCTATAACATTCTCCAAGCTCTGCATGCTTTCAGCTATGCCCATTAATCTTGAGTACCCATGCAACTATTCTACTTTTCAGTACAGCAGTCAATAAATTACATGAGCTAGTCAAGTTTATTATTATTATTATTAAGAGAGATTTTTGCTATAGGGCACATGTGCTCACCGGAGAAACAGAAAGACAGAAAGTGAGAAATCACACCCCCTCACCCCAGGGGAGATGGCCATGCTACAATCTCTTCTCCTCCATTCTCCTCTCAGGATTTTGGGCATGTAAACACACACCCAGTGTGTTTCAAGCCTCCAGGTCTGGGATTTGAACTGCAGTCAGCCATGTGGGAATCCAGCAACATAAACATTACACCACCTGCTGGTCCTGGTTGACATTTTTTAAGCTTACTTATTTTTATTCACTATGCAGAGCACTGTGTATGCACGAGAGAGCAAGAAAGCAATCCCCAATAGGCCTGGTCACACCACAATCCTTTTTCCTCCAATTCTCCATCCCAGGTGGATCCTGAAATCCTAGTGTGCCACGTGGGATCCAGTTTCCTCTACGCCGTGCTTAAACACTGCGCCATGGAGCCAGCCCTGATTAAACAACTGTCGCCATCTCTCTCTCTCTCTTTCCTCAGGTAAACGTCTTGAGAGATTACAGATGCTCCTCACCCTCAGTGGGGTTATTACCTGATAAACCCATAATAATTGAAAATATCATAAGTCAAAAATGCATTTAGTACGCCCATCCTATGCATTTGTTTAATTGCCAGGAGGCATGTGTGTTTGCCAGAGCGAGACAGAGACAGGGAGAGGGAGAAAGCATCCCTCAATGGAATGTGGTGATGCCGCAATCCCTTCTCCTTCATCTCTCCTTCCTGTTGGGATTTTGGGCATGCACATACATCCAGCATGTTTTTCAAACCACCACAAAGCTGAATTGGTGTCCTGGATGTGTCCATCAAATTTTTAAAATTAATTAATTATTTTTATTATCATCATAATCTTGTTTATATGACATTGGATTGCATATAACTTTACAGTGTATTCCATTGCTTTTTCAGAAGGGAATGCCATGCATGTCAGTCAATACAGAGACATTAATCTCCCCACTTCATCATTCAATACCTTTTCATTGTTTTTCCCAATCATTATTATTATTGTTCCAATTATTTCTTTTAAACAGTTCATCACCATTTCTCATTTTGCTTGTAAAAAGACTTTACCCATCATGAAATACTTCTCAGACCAATCCAGTTGAGAATACATGTCATCATCAACAGGTAATGAGCCATATCTGTGTCCCACTGACGTCCTGCCTCTCTATTTGTTCTCTTGCTATCTTTCTCTATCCTCTTCACTTCACCCCCCCCCTCATTCCACACTGTCTTATTCTTGTTAAGTACTTTCACTGCTTTTATGTCCTCTAATATTTCGCTTTCTACAATAGAGTGCGAATAGTCAGTATATATTTGCGCGCCATGTGTAACTTCCTGTCTTTGCTTAGAATGTCTTACCCACAGCCTCATCACAAGCTTCCTCCTCTGTCTTCTTTCTCACTATGCCGTGGTTATTGGGAGCAAGAATGGACTCCTATCCCAAGGCAGCCAACCCACTGGCCAACCAGGAGGTTAAGCGTCTTGCTAGAATAAATAAACTGGGCCAAGCACATTCTGTCCCTAAAGAAACTGGATTTTGGGGGCTGGCAGGTAGTGTGGTGGTTAAGGGCGCTGAACTCCCACATGGCCAACCATGGTTCAAGTTGCAGACCTGGCAGCTTGGTTCTTGCTCTCTCTCTCTTTCTCACTCTTGTTCTGCCCCTCTCTGGTCAAATGAAAATAAATAAATAAATAACATTAAAAAAATAATTCTTTAAAAAAAATTGGATTTTTCCCTAAAACCTAGCAACTATAGGGGACCTTTGAGAGTAAGGTCATGCATGAAGTGGTTGCCAGTCTGCTTTTGGATGACTTTGAGATTTCTTCAGCTTTCCTTAAAATACTGTGTGTTCCCTGCCATCTAACCTGAGCTGCTGGAGAGAATTTTGCTCACTTGCAACTAAAATAGCTCTTATATCTTGGCTGGAGCACCACAGCTACTGTTCTATTGTCTCTAAAGATGCTAAGTGATTTCCTAGTTCACTGACTTGCTTTAAGCTTGCTATTCCTTTCCTGTCTTCTATTTTACATTTGCATGATAATAAATGGGTGTTTTAAGATTTCTCTTCATATAAAAAGAAAACTTTTTTTTGAGCAAATTGATTCAAATCATCACTTGACAATCAATTAACAAGAGATTCTGACTCTCGTTGCTTAAACATGCAAAAATATATTCTTTCTTAAAAGAGAAGTCCAAAATGGGTAATTCAGTGGTGGTGCACTAGCTCCATAATGTCCTAAGGAATGCAGGCTTCTTTTATTTTTCTGCTCTGCAGTCTCAGAGCTTGGGCTTCCACCTTTAAGCTTATCATGTGGCTCAAAAAGGCTGCTAGAGCTCCAGCCATCATTAGCTATCATGTTAGCTAGCTTTTGCTACAATAATTCTGAGTAACAAATCAGCCCGAACTTAGAAGCTTACAGCAATTGACACTTATTTGTCTCACTCTTAGGTACAGATCTGTTGGAATAGGTTTGCTTCTTGCTGTCAGTTGGCCAAACTTAGCTGCAGGTGGAAGTTTAGGTCTGCTGTTTCTCCACATTTTCCTTAGATCAGCAGCTAAGCACATTCAAGCGCAAAACCAAACCATGGGAGTATATTCCAAGCTTCTGTTCACATTCTACCCAATAGCATCTGAAGAACTGAAAGCAATAATCTAACCTACCACCTCATTATACCTGAATCCCAGCTCCTAGGAAGGGCGTGGAGAGGGACATGGGAGCTCACCAGAGTCTCATTTGCATCAGCATTTTAAAAGAGCTCACTGAAAGTCACATACAACACTTGCAATTATATTTTATTGGCAAGAAGATTTTCATATGACCCTTCTAGGCTGCAAGGGAGGCTGGAAAATATATTTGTTATTGCAGGTTGCAGTATGCTCAGCTAAAAATTGGGGTTCTGTTACCAGATTAGAAGGAAAGAATAGATATTAAGTAGGCAGCTAGCAATTATGTTTCATAGTGTTCAGCAAGATGCATTATGTTTATCCCTCTGTATTGTGAGGTAATCTGATAACTTGAGTTAAGGTGTTTATTGTGATTCCTTAATGTACCTCTAATTGATACATAAATAATGATTATCCAGCCAGTAATTACACACTGCTGGACTGCTGCTTTTTGCAAGGAAGAA